GTGTTTTCCCTTGAAACTGATGTCCTTCCCTCCTATTTACAAAGACTGACATACAGCACTCTTACAACCACAAAACGCCTTACCATTTACATACATGTGTACAAAGATACACACATGAATGCATACACACCAGCTTGGCTGCCCTCTGTTCCTGGCAGAAAACACTAATTCTGTCCTACTGGCTCAGTGACCGACATATGGATGGATGGAGGAGGCTCATGGCTTGCCGTGATCAGTGGTGTGTGTGTACAGTGTGTGTGCAGCATGCATTAATGTGTCCACATGTCACAAGTATGAATGGATGACAAGCTGACTGGGTTTGTCTGTGAGCCAGTGGCCAAGCTGTGCTGTCTCCTCCCCTTATGCTCACTGACAGTTGGACCCACATCCCCTTCTCACCAGCCATTACCCCATCCATACCTTACTTCTTCATCACCCATATGTCATCTGATCTATTTATCTACTGCACCCTTCTCCTTGTAATTCTATATTGTGTTTCTCTTTTTTTCTTAGTTTTATTTATTTTTGCTAAACCTGAAATTAAACAAATGAGATACCGTTAATGGAAGTAAGATGAAGAAAAGAAGTCCAAAAAAGGCGTTTTGACAATATTAAAAATAAAGATTTTTCGTAGAGCTTGCCAAGTCAATTGGAGTAATGACACAGTTTTACGTCGTTGCGTAATGTCGTCATCCCACCATGAAATGACAACGTCATTTAGCAACTTTTATTTAAACAAATCAACCTGCATGTAGCAATTTCTCCTGAAAATTTGTTGGTAACACATATGATCTATTAACCATGAATACGGTGAGTCATAAAGTCATAAAACCATATTTCATGAATTTACATTTTAAAATTATGTGATTCACTTTATCAAAAGCTTTTGAAAGATCTATCATTGTGGTACAAATAAATTAATTGTTGTCCAGTGCCCTAGATATTTTGTCTGTCAGATGTAGCAAAGCCACGTAGCTGGAATGGTCTCTCATTACCTTGATTGTCACATGCTTTTAGCTCCTCACATTGCCGCCTCATCGCCCTACCTGTTATTATTTCACTCTCTGTGGGCTGTTTGGTGCATGGTGCTGCTAAAAAGGTTATCCTTTCCCCGTGTTCTGTTAATTAGCAACAAAAGAGGCTACAAGACTCAGGGGGGTGGGGGCTGGCACTGCCACTGTGTCTCCTCTGCACGTCTCTTTTGGTCTTCCCCATTGCAGAGAATTACATGGCTTATACTTAATTTCTCTCGCATTCACTCATCCTTCCTCTGTCTCTCTTTTGTTTTTCTATCCATCCAGCAGCGCTTGCATGCACTGTAGCTTACATGTTAGCACAGCCACTGCTGTTTTTTATCTGACACACATGGCTGCCCTGTTGACTTTGATCCTCAGATCTCAGTATCAAGGGACCATTCACTCTCCTGCCTGAGGGAGGTGACAGAAATGTCTGTGTTTTCCTTCTGTGCGCACGAGAGAGAAAGAGAGAAAGGCGAGAGTAAGAGAGCGAGATGCAATAAGTGGAGATTGAGAGATGACAGAGCCTGTGATCCAATGTTTTCCCCATTGAGATTTCGGACTGGCTTCTCTGTTCGGTCGCTCTTTGACATGTGTGACATGAATCTAATGTCTTTGCGTCTTTGTTGTTGCCTGGCTGTCTCTGATCCGCTCTCCTCTACCACTGGACTCTTAGCCACGGTGATGAAACTATTGATGTCACCAGTCATGTGTTTGCTCGTCCATTCAGCCATTCAGATCCAGGGCTTTAATTTAGAGAATCAATAGCGAGCTGGTGGAGCTATGCTAAAATGGCTCTCATCCTCTGAATTTGGAGTGACACATGTGAGTACCAGTGGCTGCTTTGCCTCATTTGTCTATGTAGCCCCAATCTCCCCGGTTCCCCTCTCTCGCACAGGCTTGTTCCACTTTTCCATTATAAAATACCATCTGCACCTGCAAATTGCACCATAATTACAAGTAATAAATCACATTAGACGTGCTTTCAAACACAACAACATCAAAATTAAATTCCAGGGAGAAGAAAATGGTCCTCTAGCTTTTAATTTGGAGGAATAGAATGCAGCTTTTTGGAGCCTGGTAGTAAGACGCCAGGTTTTATCCTTCATCAACTGCAATTTAGTTTAGTTTTTATTTTTGCTTTCAGCTACTTTAGTTTTAGTTAACACCTTACCTGGAATCACCACCGCAATTTATTGATCCACTTAGTGTGGCAGGATATGACACTGATAGGAAATCCTGTGGGTCAAAGCGTTGCCAATTAGTTCCTAGATTGACGTCTTCTGCTAATGATGTCCACTCCATAACGATAGCCAACATACTTTACAAGACAAATTATCTCCCCATCAAATAGCCAATTTGGACTGGTGTCAGTCTTGTGCTCTTGTTCGACCTCTGGTTTCGGAAGAGTTTTTTATTTATTTATTTTTTTCTCTGGTAACCCTTGTTTAGTTTTCGAGAAACAATAAAGATTAAAAGAGAAGGTGTGTGTGTTCTTCTGACCACCTGTCCATTTGTGCATGTGCTTGAGTGTGTGTGTGTGTCTCATTTAATGTTGTCCAAGCGCCTGCTAATAAAGGCTTAATGAAGTGCCATGGATATATGGAGAGAACTGTCCACCCTCACAGATGTGAAACTTAATGAGAGAGTGTGGAGCCTTGTGCAGAAGCCAGCCCAAGAGAGAGGATGGCCACCTGGCATTTATAATTGTACGAAGACATGGAGGTGTTGCTTGTGTGTGTTTGAGGATTTGAAAGGAGTGAGCAAACACTTGGTCACTGTGAGTGTACAAATGCCATTGTTTCGGGTGTCCAAGTTTTTTATGTTCCTGTTTGCAATATGCAGGTGAAAGCAAGTGAGGTGTAAATGTATAAATTTGTCAGACTATTTGTTTTGACTGATAATTGTAGGCTATTTAATGAAACTGTTGTACTGCTAGAAAGAGCCTGGGTCGCTCCATAGATTTACACTAGTGTGTTAATCAACAGCTAATCTTGCAATAAGCAGGCAGTTGTACAGTTAAATCTTCACATTAAGCCTCATTTCTCTTATTTCAATTAACTAAAAGGAGGCGCTTAGAGGAAGCTTAGGAAGCCAGCTGCTGGCTCTGTAGCATTTCGACAGCTCATCTCTCCCTGAGTCCTGGGTAGCATTAGTCTCTCTGCAGGGAGCCCTGCTGCCAGCTAGCTAGCCAGCCACAATGGGCTCATTCTTAACAACACACCTTAGCCTCAGGTGAGAAAGTGGCACAGTGTAGTGCTGCTGATAGCGCTCATTAGTCTCTGGATTAGCCCTGATTAGCCTAGCCGTTACTCCCTCTGATACTCCATGTTAATGTTAATTATGCATTTACCACTTTACCCTTTATAGACAAGCTGTGTGCCTAGTTTTATTAGCTTTATATTCTCTCATGACTTTTTCTTGGCTGCGGCTTCAACATCAGTTGCACTGCATAGCATTTTTCTCTTCAGTGACTGAATGTAACCTAAATCAGCAGGTTTTTGTCGTATAACTTTTGACATGTTGCTTTTGATAAGAAGTGGTGATGGGGATGCTGCTATTTGGGCAGAAAATAATCATCAAAAGTGTGTTAAGATAGGGTACAATACCTACCTGAGAGCATAATTAAGGGGGAAGAACCTGATTTTATGCCCAGTCAAGCAAACAGCTTTGTGTGAGTTTAATAAAAAAACATAGTTAACTGGCAGATCAGAGCTTTAAATTTATTCCACTTGAGTTTTCATAAAGCCAAACCACAATGAGTGTGACATTAAGGCGGCGTGAAGGCTGTCACAGGCAAGTGACAAAGTGAAATTGACTTTGATGAGACTGAGATGAGGCAGAGGAGCCTTTAACTCACACTGTCCTTTCATCTCCACCGTCAGTCACAGCTAGACACAGAGGGTGGAAGAGAAAGATGGGCAAGAAAGGTGGAGGGGGATGAACAGATAACCGCAAGCAGTGCAGGAGAGCAGCAGAGGGGGCTGAAGATTAGCGGTGGCTTCTGTCGAAGTAGGTTCCATGCTGATTTTCAGTGGCAGCTGTACATGCTGACTACAACGTCTGGAGATGCTGACACAAATCCAAACTGATCTGCTCGATTTTGGTGAAATTCAGCTCTCACCGGTCTCACAGTATGCTATAAATGTCTCTCAGCAGTTCTGTAAGCAACAACAACAACAAAAAAAGAACTTAGAAACATGTGTACTTGTTCTTGTGGTGTTTATACAGCCACTGTCTCAAAGTCACTCCTCTGGGAGACAATATACCTGAGTGGACATTTTGAACCCATTTCACGCATAGGGTGTACTGAGTGGACATAAATGTTCAAATGGTGGATGTTTGACTGACAGTTTATCCTACTCCATGTTTCTTATGTAACCAAGCTGATTTACGTTCACCTAATGCAAACCACTGGAAATGTGATTCAAAAGAATTCAGCAAAGCTGGTTTTGTGAGAGAGAAAATGATGCCGTTTTTGTAAGACAAGACAATCTGTTCAGTTTTTCCTTCAGTTTTTGAAGTAACCCATATTTTCTATCTGAGATAGCAGTGCTTGCTAACCTGGATGCCATGAGAGTGTGGTCAAAGATTATCTCTGTACTTTCTGCCAGAAGAAAGTACCAGTCAGCTCCTTTTGTTGGTTTACCTACTCCTCTTAAGTCCTTATGCTGGTTGTGTGAAGTGTTATGACAGATTTCTGCCTCTCAGGTTTGTCTCTGTAACAGTGCCCTTCACAGGCAACCTCAGTAAAACGATTGGTAAGAACTCATCACAGGCTATTTTGGGGTCACTTGGTTTCTCTCCCCGGTACTGCAGTTTTGCAGCAGTGAGATGAAATTTCTCATTTAAGACATCAAATTAGGAAAATAGGTCCTAGAGTCCTTTAAAAAATGGAACTTAACTCTGTTGATGTTACACTAATCAAATCTCTTTTTTTTCTGCCTCCCTCCCTCTTTCCCCATCTATCCCTCTCTCATACAGGTGGAGCGAGAAATAGCTATTCTGAAGCTCATAGAGCACCCGCATGTTTTAAAGCTACATGATGTCTACGAAAATAAAAAATACTTGTAAGTATCACCAGCCGATTGTGGTCCAATGTTGATTTATGTAAATATATATAGTAAATCAAAAATATGCATACATATTTATACACACCTAAATGATTGTAAGTTTGCATGAAAACATTTGTGACCCACAAATATCATTATTATCTATTACTAACTGCTCTTATGGATGGCATGAATCTCACACTTCATTTTGTTGGCCCGCAGAGCAGTTTTGATTGGTGTATTATGATTAGAGGGCAACAATGATAGCCTTGGAGGGGCGGCTGCTCCATTAGTATTGGCATGAAGCATTTAATTTGGTCGCGAACGCTACGGGACTGCTAATAGGGGGAGGAAGTCTCCGTAATGTAAACACCATGACACGCTTATCAGAGACAACACCATTGCATTAAGAAACATTAGCCATGGAGAGTGGCATCCGCATTAGTCTGCTGCAGTGGCTACACAGACACACACACACACACACACACACACACACAAACACTCACACACACACACACACACACACACACACAAACACTCACAAGCAGGCGCATGCATAAATCTATTAGCTAACTTTAATAATGGTGTGTGACAAGCACCACACTAGTTTATAGTAGCCCTCTTGATCTACAGAGGGCTGTTTGTCAACTAAATTCGATCATCTTGAGCTTACTGGCCAAATGGGATTGGACATGCAGTGCTGAACATGTCATCCTTTAAAATGATAGGAATAGCAGAATATTGTGATTCATCCTATAATTGGATTATTAAAATCACATTTTGTGGCCATTGCTTCATCACTTTTGACTTTTGGTCACTAGTAGCATCACAGAAGACAAATTGCTTTACATTTATATCACCAGTACACTCTGTGCTTCACATCAGTGTTGTCGTTTTGAAATGAATATTGTTTAGATTCTTACTCGGATATCTCCACTTGAAAGCCAATAATTGGTAGACATATACCGCGTTTTGATGTCACAGTCCAAGAGCTTTTAAGATTTATTATGCTGCTGGCACAGATCCCACCACAAGCTGTTTAAATTGGTGTGGTGTGTGTGTACAGGAGGTGAGGGAGAAGTGGGAGGAGTTTGATACATAGCCCACCAATATTTTATTTAAGCATATTTCATTGCTAGAAATGAATGAATGATCACATCATGATGTTGGAATAAATTATGCATCTGAGAATGAAAAATGGTTGCGGAAAAATATGCTCAATAGTCTTAAGAAACCATATTGCGTATGGGTACACTTAATTTGCAATAGGCTTGCTATGAGCGGTTTCATTTCAGATTAGCATGATTAGTTGTAACACATGCAAGACCAGGTCTTTTAAAGCTTGCCGAGCTACTATTGAGAGACAATATAGCAAAAGTTGTTCAAAGTTGCACATTCAATGCATCCTTGCATTGATAGAAAATATATTGGTGTATGGTATTAAGAATTGATTAATAAAATAATTATACAAGCTGTGCAAGAGCAAAGTATATAGCATTTATAAAAGTGAAGCCATAGCATAAGTGGTAATCCAGTGATTTAGTATTGAAATTGTATTAGGTTATTGTAGATGTAATAATGTGTGCCCTGCTACTGTGGTCTGGTTGTTAGCTATTGAGGTTTTGTCAAATCTAGCATTTTTGGCATTAAGGTTTTAGGGTCGTTTACTGAGCACACACTTCGTAACACTATAGTGTTATCTATAAAAATGAAGAGTTGCATGTAGACACACACATCCACAACAGGGAGAGAGAAAAGAAAGAAAGTATTTCACCGCCTATCTGAGTTTCAATTTGTCCTAGTGAAGATCGAGGGAGTTTTTAGCACAGGATATACGAGCAGGCCAGTCCGGAGCAGGGGCAGGGCACTGCTGGCTTTCAGCCCACAGATGCAGCTTTAGGGCCGGGTCAGCAGTGATTCATCTCCACCCTGTCACCTTCGTGCCCCAGTGCAGGAAATTGTCTCCCCTATAAGCCCAACCACTCTTACAGGATCGAAGGCCACCTGAAGTGTGGCTGTGAGAAATGTAATGGCAGGGAAGATTGCATGTAAATTTATGCATGTTTGTGGAAGAAAGAAATTACAACAGTAAAGTCTTAGTAAAGTGAGGAACTTGATTTTCCAGTACCTCTTTTGCTTGATTTACAGAGTGCTGAGACAAAGACTGTCAAGAAGCGTACAGCATCTGTACCTTAGCAGAATTCACAAGCCCCTAAATCCCTCATGTCTGAGAGCTTTTTCCCACAACTTTTCCATCTATGAAACTATATCATTCCTCCGATGCCTCCCATCAGAGGTCAGAGTGCATTTCAGAACCCTTCACATATATTGTAATACACAGTTGGCATGCTTCACTCTGACTGTGGGGACAGCTTACAGATGACAAAATAAAAAATAAACAGTATGACTTTGGGTAGATCAGTTCATTGATCCTCGGTGTCTTGTTTGCATATCATGACTGTGAGGGAACTATCTTTTGTATTATTCTTTACACTTGTTAAAGCACTTTGTAACTTGTTTTTGAAAAGTGCTCTACAAATAAGGATTATTATTATTATTATTATTATTATTATTATTATTATCTTCTCCGCATAGCTTTCTCAGTTTCTTTTGGCCCTTCCAGAGGGCTCTGTAGAGAACACAGGTACTTGTTTCTGTCCTTGCAAGTGAAATCTTTCTTCTCTATGTGTGTATGAGAGTTTTTCTGCAGCTCTCCTTGTTTTATCTTTATTTCTTATACAGATTTCCCCTTTCTCTCTCTTTCTCTCAGGTACCTTGTACTAGAACATGTGTCTGGTGGTGAGCTGTTTGACTACTTGGTGAAGAAAGGCAGGTTAACACCTAAAGAGGCCAGAAAATTCTTCAGACAGATCATGTCTGCCCTGGATTTTTGCCACAGTCATTCCATATGGTAAGTGAAACGATCTACATGCAAGAAGACTTGTTCTAGTTGCTAGTAGTTTATTGATGCTATTCATAGATGCTATGCCAGGCTTTATGACATTTGGAGAACAAATATTATTTTGACACAAATTATGGTAAATAAAATATAGGTTTTACTATACATTGGTAAAAGTACATTAAAGTATATGAAGTATAAAAAGCAAATACATCCATTTAATTGAATTGAATACAGTTCAATTTATGTAAGATGATGAATGGTTAAATAAAGTTTAAATAAAAAAAATCTATGCATGAATTTATGAAATGGAATCCTGTCACCATTTACACTGATAGCTTTGTAGTACATGTTGTTCTGGTACACAGTCGTACTTCAAAAGTTCTTCGTGCCTTTCTGCCCAATAGAGAGTAAAAACCACAGGTTTTACAAAAATATTGGAGGTACAGCACATACATTTAAAACGATTGAACAATGAACAAATAATAAGTTCTCAAATAATGAATTCTACAAATATACAGATTCTTCCTGAAGTGAATCTACAATCTAAATGTAAATCAATTTATTCATAGCTTTAGAGTGCTGTTTAGTTTTCAAACCACTGATTCAATAGATTACAGAACTGAGAAAACCTGATATTGCTTAGTATGAAAGTGTTTATATTTCCTCTTTTAACATCCATCTTAAACAGCTAACGCTGGTTGACACATGTCAGATAAAAAGAGTCATATACACAGACACAAATCGCCTCATATCTAAAAATATTAGTGACTCTATATAGAGTACAATTATATTTATTATATGGAGTGAACTATTTCTCATAAAATGTCTGAGACTACTAATTATGGTTTATTATAAAAATCAATAAAAGCATTGTAGCACAATATTGTTTATAAATGTGTTGTACGATATATTATGCATGATATATAGTGTGTGTGTACATACACACACACACACCCACACACATCTTTATGGTTTGGGGGAAGATTTAAAGACGCACTTATTTTCCAGATAAATTGCTTAGGTGTCATTTTTAAAGTAGAGCAGTGATTTTTGTGCTAGTACACAGTACATTTCCTTACTATGCTCTGATCAGTGTTGAGTGCTAGTATTTGAAATTTGCTTCCAGTTATTAATGTGACACATTGTGTTTGGCTTCAAGGGGTAATTTAACTGTTTACCAGCTCATAGACTAGAGGTAATCATATATACTTCAGAAGTCAAACCAGTCAGCAGGGAATGATTTGGAGCGCTAATGTGTTTGTGTGTCTGTTGTGTAGTGTTAAGTGGCAGCGTACGTATCCATTTGTCACCCTAAGCAGAGAGTTTATTTCCCTCTTTAGAGAGTGCATGCATTTTGTCCTCATGTGCCTGCATAGCGGAGCACAAGGACCATAGAGCAGAATGAGTTCAAGTGTATTTATTTTTACCTTGGTCACAAGTTAATCTCCAGCGACTTTGCAGAAATGGGGATAAAAACTGAAATATGAGATGTGAACAAGTGGGAACCTCCAGGACTGAAAAGTGGAGCCACGGCTGAAGTACCTTAAACTTGCATTCCTTCTAGTGGTCAGGAGGGCGCAACTTCACTGGTTGCAAAAAGAAGTCCGATTGTATAGAAGTCTATGAGAAAATACTACTTCTGACTTGCTTTATTGCCTCAGTAGACATTTTCCTAATGAGTTTATGGTCTCAATCAAGTATTCTTTGACACAACATGATGTTCATTTAGTAAATTATGGTGAAATAGATGATAAAGCAGGATGCTTAAGGACGTGGCTACCTTGTGATTGACAAGTCGCTATCACAGCGACCTGGTCACTTCTGGTTCCAAAAAACAAGATGGGGAAGGCCAAAATGCCAAACTCAAGGCTTCAAAACGGTTGTCCACAAACAAATGGGTGACTTCACGGTGGCTAAATGGACTTCTTTAAGCTGTTTATGGATAGGAACAAAAAATAGAACTGCATACTAATTAGTAATCAGTTGCAAGAAAAGATAATACCATATACTACACTGTTTTATTCTCTCAATCCTATTTTAATGCGGTTCTATTTTCTATTCAGTTACTAGTAATTGTGTTTATTATACCCCTTCTTTTACTTGCTAGCTGGAAGAAAGGTTATATGCTAATCCATAATTTAAACCAAGCCATTGGTTTATTTAGAGTCCGTTTAAAATCAATCAAACGGACTGATTTTTCTCAAATCAGATCTGCAACAAATTAGAGAGTTTTTTTCTGGCAGAGAAAGCCCAGAGTAAAGACCAGGGTGATAATTGACATTCATGATGATCATTTATGTGATTCCATCATAACTTTTGTGCCAGGGCTATTGTGGCTTAAAAAGCTCGGGAAAGAGGGTTTTCTTCTCTTCTGTGCACAGTCTGGTATACTTCAAAGTTTCCTGAATAGCTTTCTGCTGATGATGGAGGGGAAACCAAACTGAAAAACAGTTATGGTATAATATTCCCTAGACCCTGGTGTTGAGTGCTACAGTAAATGCCTAGGAGATAGATTTGCATAATGTTGCACGGGCAATTAAAAGGAAAGAATTAAACTGATTTGTCATGCAATGATTAGGTATAGTTGAATTTCTGTGTTGATATGCTTTTTTTGCACAGTATAGTTTATAGAAGAGGCAATTACATTTTGGCTGCTGCTATTTAATAATAAAGCCATTGTGTGAGCTGTTTTACACAGTACGAGCTGCTACATCCTCCTGTCTGAAACCTCTTTACATTTTACTGATTATCTCAGCGTGATGTGCTTGGGTTCAACTATTAAACAGGTAGTTGGTGGATTTAAAATGTGAATTAAAAAAACAGAAGATAACCCTTGTACCACTGGAAATAGAACAAAACTGTCCTACCTAAGGGAATGAAAGTTAGAAATCTCTTATCAGTATATTACTGACTATGAGAACATTAGGCCAATTAGGAGAAAGCATCTGGGACTGACATGAAGTGCATGCACACACATTATCACAGATTATCACAGAGCTTCTGTAGTAAGATTCACTAGCAGATTTATCTCTCTCTGTTTTACTTTGCTGATGCCTCATTGTCTTAGCTCCTCAAATACTCAAACACTCTTAACAAATGATGCCTTGTAAATATATCATGAGGAGGATTATTTGGGAGAGTTGCTGTGCCCACTCGCCCTCCTACCAACCTTTATTAGGGGCGAATAGACAGACAGACACAGCCCTTTTCACCTCCCTTCTATACACACTAATGAGATCCCAGCATCCCCTCAATTTCTGCAATCATTTCTTCCATTTCTACTTGCGCAGGGGACCTATACAGGCCATTAGAGGTGCTCCCTTTTCTCTGTGATTCACCGTGCAGAGGGGGGTAAACACATGCTCCTCAACCCTCCTTTTCTGCACACCTCCCATTTTCGCTTCTTCTCATTGCCTCACGCTTCCGCCCTCCGCCCACGTCCTATCCCCAAATATCTCTCTTGAGCCAGATTGATGTAAGTCTGGATGTGAATGAAAGAATGTAGAGGGCTGTTTATGACTCAGTGGTTCCTCTGCCTGATTCAGATGGCGCTCTGATTTAGACAGAGTTTTCTTTTTACATGGAGGAAGAGAAAGAGACACACAAGCATAGCTGACGAGGGAGATGAGGTAAAGATAGGTATGGGTCGGGTAAAAATAGATGTGGGAAAGGAATGCGTAAAATATATTTTTAATGCTGAGGCAGTGAAAGAAAGTCTTCATTGTATGTTAATATAGATCCAGTGTCAAACTATTCTCCTCACTCCTCCTCACTAAGACTTGTCTTGTGTCTAGATATCATTTCATAAGTTTGCCAATGCAAGATCTTTAAATTTATGACTCAGATACAGAGATAGAATGACTGACAGACTAATTGATGAGACAGAGATGGGACCACAACCCCCATATAATGACGTTTTCGATCCTTGTGAAAACCTCTTCAGTCCCTCTGCATGGATGTCAAAGGTCAGGGTCAGCTACAGAACAGCTCTCTTAGAGCACAAGGTCACGATAACAAAGTGGATGCATCAAAGATGTAGTATGACATTGCAGATTATTCACTTCCACATTTACCTGAGAGGGAATTCCAACAACAGCTTCGGCTGCATCTTTTAAGTTTTGACGTTCAACAAAATACACACCTACTACACAGTACACACTCTCCGGAGAAGTCGATGTGGCAGTCTGCCATAACTGCAAACACCCAACAGAGACACAGATTGATTGAGAAAAGTAAAGTGTATTTTCCTTGAACACTTGACAAGCTGCTTGTGTGCTTTTTACCCAGCTTTTGAACCATATTAGCGAATGATGATGAGAGGTTAAGTTTACACATTAGAAAGAAACAAAAGAAAAATAATAAATTACATTTGTCAATACATATACGTGTGGCTACCTTTTTACTGCACTTGAACTTACCATAGAAAGCACAGTATGCCCTGATTTCCTGTGATAAACCGAATGCACAATGTCTCTATTCTCATGTGAGCAATAAAGCTATATTGTATTGATTTTTTCCAGTGTTTCTGAAGCTGTAGTGAGACTGTACCCAGGATAGAAGGTCAAGTGTGCCAGGGTTGACACCAAACACACCCCTGTGTCTCTCCCCAGTCATGTTGTCCACCCACTCCCATCACACCATTCGGTCCCTCACCTTTCATTTTCTTCACTCATATTTGCATGGGTGTGAACAAACATGGAAAAAATAGCACAATTTCACCCTGACCACAACACACTCAGTCCTCTTTCTCAACCCTATTCTGTTATAGTTTGTTTAGTAATGACTCTGGCCTTTCACATTTTAACTCTTGCTTTTGATAAAAAGTGACTGTGTGTGGGTAAGAAATGAAGACAGTCTGTCACATAAAGTAACTGCAAGCGTGCCACCAAGTAAGACGGCTAGTGCACATTGTCCCTATAGCTTATAGCTTCACCTTGCGTGCTTGCACACACTGATTTAACACAGTCACACAACTTCTTATCCCCAACACTGATGTGCACATTATTACC